CATTAATTCACTTTAGAACCTTTTTCTTCAACATCCACTTGAAGGTTACCTGCTCCTCTGCCCTGATTTATGCAAGCTGTATCTGTCCCTCTCTGAATTCCCATAGCATTGTCTTCATCCCTGTCTTATTTGAAGTGTGTGTGTGTGTGTGTGTGTGTGTGTGTGTGTGTGTTGTGCTTTTTAAGATAGGGTCTTGCTATGTATCCCAGGCTGACCTTGAATTCTCAGTCCTTCTTCAGACTCCCTAGTTCTGGAATTAGAGGCACGTACCACCATGTCAAGCCCCACAAGATGCTTCCTATCTTGTATTGTTTTCTCAAAATACTCTTGACTTTGCTATATAAAACACATAACAAAATTCATTAAGACTATTCTGTGAGGAACTGAGGCAGGGGGTAGAGGCTGATTACCTATTTGATTACTCTGAGCACTAGAATCTTGACTAGACTATTCAAGGTTACCTCATTTTGATTGATTGATTGAGTGTGTATGTGTCTGTGTCTGTGTCTGTGTCTGTGTCTGTGTGGTATGTACACATGGAGAATAGAAGACAACTTTTGGGTATCAGTTCTCACCTTCCACCCTGTTGAGGCAGGCCATTTTGGATCGAACTTGAGTCATCAGGCTTCCACAGCTAGTGCTGATCCACTTCACTTGCCTCCTCAATATTTTTTCTGTTTTGAGATAGAGCTCATTATGCCCCAGTATGACCTCAGAGTCACTATCCTCTGCCTCCTCCTCCTGAGTGCTGGGATTACAGGCACACACCACCATTTTCAGCCTCATTTAAATATCCATTTTAGTTCCTTTATCCTCAAAGTCTTATTTGTTCACAAGTTAAAATTTCTAAAGCTGAAATGCAGCTGATAATTTGTTTTTAAATTGCCACCTGCTGGCAGGAGAGTATATTGATTCTGAGTTGTTATTATCGGCCCCATGGGAGAATTTAGAAGACCTATTTTTCAATAAGTGAAGCAAATATTTATTGCTGAAGGCATGACTACACTTTCATGTCTTCTAGCAAAGCAACAGTCAAGCGCTCCAGAGGACTCAGGAGGAAGACACCAGCTTACACAATGGGCACTATAATTATACAATAAAAATTGACAGATGTCTCAAGAGAAATGGAATTTTTAAGGTTAAGGGTATTTGGGGGAATCAAGTCATTCATTGCAAAGTCACCCTAGGGTGCCAAACATCTTTCAAGAAGCTTCTGAGCGACTTTCAAAAGAAGCTGTTTATCTTCTAGAAAGGGATAATCTAATTAAAAGAAGAAGAAGAAGAAGAAAAAAAAAAAAACCCTGAGTTTAGCCAAACAGAAAAAAACAAATGAAACCCTGGTATTCCACAATATGACTAACAATCAGGCCACCTAGCTCCCATTTGCTAACGGGCTTGCAAGCTATGTCCCCACCCAGGGTGCTGAGCTTCACTGTCAGTGGTCACAAAGGATTCAGTGAGAAGCCATAGCTTGACTTTGAAAGAGGCTTTTTCTCAAACACTGAATGAGGTGCTAGAAAGAGAATATGTGGGTATTTTTAGTGTCACATTTATTGTAACGTTTTTCCCCTTACATCTCATTATTAAATCAGTACTGTACTTAAAATACATGGCACCTTGGGACTGAGGAACTGGGGTTAATGTAATAACAAATAGGAATACTTCTTTAACCTTTCAACATTGGTTGAAGCGGAAAGGAATTGTTAAGAATGATTAAATTCACATCCTATAATGAGAATAGGAATTCTGTTCCATTTACAATATTGAGTTGGCAAAGCTCAGTATATGTATCACAATTCACTCTCCCTCTCTTTCCTATGGAAGACATCATTCATTATTCATGGAGCTCTTTTTTTAAATTATTTATTTTTATTTTATGAGTGTTTTGCCTGCATATATGTTAAGTGCACCATCTATGTGTAATGCCCAAGGAGACCAGAAAAGTCAGATCCCCAGGAACTGGAGTCACAGACAATTGTGAGCTGTGGTGTGAGTGCTCTTAACTACTGAGTCATCTCTCCAGTCCCAAGCTCTTTTATTTTTTAATTAGGCCAGAATTCTGCAGAATTATTTTCAACAGTACAGTCAAAAGAACAGTTTGGGGATCACCTTGGGATCATCTTGCTGATTCTGAGATTTCTAGACCCAGGCTTCCACATTGCTTTGGCCTACATCATCTTGTTACCACAAAAGTTCTGTGTTTGGTGAAATATTTACTCTATGTGATATTAATCTTTTTTAAATATTTTATTTATTTATTTATTTTTATGTGTATGCAGGTATTGCCTGTATGTAGGTAAGTGTACCTATGTCATGCAATGCCCAAGGAAGACAGAGAGGCTGTCGGATCCCCTGGAACTGGAATTACGGACAGTTGTTAGCTGCCATGTGGGTGCTGAGATTCGAACCCGGGTCTTCTGCAAGAACAACCAGTGTTCTTAACTGCTGAGCCATCTCTCCAGCCCCATGATAGTTAATCTTGATTGTTAACTTGATACAATTTGGAATCACTATGGAAACAGACCTCTGGGTGTGTCTATGAAAGTGTTTCTAGAAAGGTTTAAATGAGGTAGGAAGACCCACTCTGACCATACACAGTCCCATCCTATGTGCTGGGGTCCAGGACTGAATAAAAAGGAGAAAATGAGCTGAGTGCCAACATTCACCTCTCTCTCCTGCCTGTGGCTGTAATGTGACAAGCTGCCCCCCACTCCTGCTACTGCAACTTCCCCACCAGGATGGACCATATCCTCCAAATGTGAGTCCCAATACCACTCTTAATTTGCTTTTGCCAGGTATATTGTAGCAGCAACAAGAAGAATAACTAACACTCTATTTTCAACCTTTAAGTACCACCTATTTTTCAACTGATACATTAAAAATATTTTCTTTGTTAAAATTTTCCCTGAAGGGGCTCAGCAGGTAAATTCACTTGCCAACAAGCCTGACACCTGAGTTCATTCCCTGGGAATTCCCTGGTAAAAGAAAAGAATCATCTCCTGCAAGTCGTCCTGACCTCCACATGTATACCATAGCACATTCATATACACACAAACGCACACACCCACATAAATAATAAATAAATAAATGCAATGCAATATTTTTTAATCCTCTGCAAATGTATGCTGTCTGTTTTAACTGATGAAAGCATAAGGTATTTTGTAAGGTTTAATACTCTAACAAAAGATTCTGTGTCTTTATTCACTGGGCCTTTAATCAAAGCATGGCGTTCTCTATTAAGGATAAAAATCACTTCCTGCTTAGCATCCTAGCTAAAAATGATTCCCCCTTTTCAGATAAACTAGAAACTTTCTGGGTCACACTCTCAGTGTTCCTCCAGGGGAAAGTAACTAGGGATGTTACTATTTACTCTTGCCAAGTATCACCTAGATTCAGTGGGACATGTCTTATCTTTCCTTGCTAGGCTATGAACTTTTTCAGGCCAGGAATTATAACATTTACCTATCCTTAGTAGACTATCAAGACTTCCATCAAGATACTAATACAATTTTTTTCTTTTAAATAAAAAAAATATATATTTGGAGGCCTATCTGGGAAGGGCTCAAAGGAGAGAGATGATCCCACATAGTGAACTATATCTTCATTCCAACCTCACTCTTGTTTGTTTGTTTGTTTGTTTGTTTGAGTTTTTGTTGTTGTTGGTTTTTGAGACAAGGTCTCACTGTGTAGCACTGGCTGGCCTGGAACTCACTATATAGACCAGGCTAGCCTCAACTCACAGAGATCCTCCTGCTTCTGCCTCATGAATGCTGGGATCAAACATGTATGCTACCACGCTCAGCACCAACCTCACCCTTGAATCTGAGGAATGAGCAAAGTAATTTTGTTTTTATAAATATCTTCTTTTATCTCTATCCTTAAGAATCTTTGCTTTTCGAAGAATTCCTTAGCCTAAAAAAGAAATATAAAGAGCCTTCCATATACTGCTTTTATAGGTGATGGTTGCTTATTTGTTTTGTTTTGTTGTTGCTGGGGATTGAACTCAGGACCTAAAGCATGCTGAGCACATTTCCCCAGCACTTCATCAATGTTTTTTTGTTTTGTTTTGTTTGTTTGTTCTCCTGGTGCTGGGAATTGAACCTAGGGCCTCACACATGCTAGGTGAACACTCTATCACTGAGCAATATTCCTAGCCCTCACCCATGGTTCCTAATGCTGGTTGAACATTAGAATCACCTGGTTGGGGGGCTCCTAAACATTATCAGGGCTTGACAGGTGTTGGCACCAGATACTTGTACTAGTCCTTGTAACAGCCTTCCACAGTGAGTACTATCATCCCCATTTTCGAGATGAGGGGAAAAAAGCTCAAAGAGATTATAAAGATTTGTCTCCTGCACATCTAATGAGGGACAGAACATAGACCCTCAAATGTATGCTGCAGTACCCTCTGTAATGGATTTTAACAACAAGTGATATAGCACCCACAATCCTTCCCCACTCATCCTCACACAGGCCAAAGGAGCAGATGGAAGAGCTGGCCATCCCTGCAGCAGCAGGAAAGACCCCTGCTTACTACTAACTCTTCTAGACTAGCATACACTGTCTCCTTGAATCCTGTCTTGTTGCATCTCCACACAATGACAAAGCTGATTTTTCTCTTAAGGAACCAGAAAGAGGAGTGTATGTGAGCCAAGAGGCAACATCTTTCATCAATATACTGTAAATTTGACCAGTTCTATTTCTTTTTTTCTTAGAATAACTCAGCAAAATAAAATTCTGGTTTATTGTTGGACATTCTTTCAGACATACATCAAATAGGCCAAAAAAATAAATAAATAAACAGCAACTTCATAGACAAAAAAAGGGAAAAAAAAACCTTTTATCTTTGGCCTTTTTAACCATTTCATACAAACCAACTACTGATAGTACACCTAGGTACATACACACAAAAAGGTACTGCAATGCTCAGAATAAGATTGTTTTTTGTTGTTGTTGTTTTTGTTTTTGTTTTTTTCACAAGGGTTTTTTCTCCTTTGAGCTTCTAATGAACATGATCACACCATAGTAAAGTCAGAAGTAGGACAGAGAACGCTCTGAAGGCTGGTTTGGTCACCCGTTATCATCAAAAATGGCTGACCCCTAACAATATGTACAAAAATATAAAATGCAAATAAAAAATACAAACAAATTTTCCTTTTTAAAGTACTTTTAAGAAAAAAAAGCAGGGCCTCGGAAGTTTTGGTTTTTTTCCTCCCCTGTTGCAAATTCGAGTTGTGCGTTTGGTGGGATGGCGGAGAGCGCATGTCATCTGCAGTGGCACTGCCCGCTGTGGGCGGGCGGGCCTGCCTCTCTACTCGAAGGTGACCACGTTTAGATCCTGAGACGGGAAGTGGAGGGTGAATAGGTCACGGTGGCCTTTCAGGTTTAATTTTTCCTTTTTGCTGTCTAGTCATCCTCATTGGTCTTCGGCTTCTTGGAATCAACATCATCATCCTCATCATCTTCAGCTGCCCGCTTGCACGGCACTGCCTCAGTCTCTTCATCTCCGTCCTCTTCGTCACCATCACCTTCTTCCTCCTCTTCCTCTTCCTCCCCACCTTCTTCCCCTTCTTCATCTACCTCATTGTCAGCCTCCTGTTCCCCATTTTCCTCATCAGCGTTCCCATTGGCAGGTGCGTCTCTTCCGTTCTCTGCCTCCTCTACAACTTCCTTCTTCTCCTTCAAGTCCTTGGTGGTGATATCGGAGCTGGTGTCCACGGCTGCGTCTGACAAGGTGGAGCACGCCGGAGATCTGATGCAGCGGGCGGAGGAGAGTGCGAAGGCTGGTGGACTGGCGCGGGAGCTGCTGGAGTCCGTGGCGGAGGAGGCGGAGGAGGCGGCGGAGAGCGGTGGAGGGTGGCTGCAGCAAGCACGGAGCCAGACCCAGGAACAATGCAAAGATGGCTTTTCGGAGCAGCCAGTCGACCACTTCTATTCCTTGATCATGCTCTGTGCTTAGATTTCTGTGAGTCTAAGCGAATTAGTGAAATTTCATATAAAAAGGACAGACTGAATTAAATGGATTGATACAAGTGAACCAAAATAGCTTGCCTTCTTCAACTCTACTCTGTTGCTTTTCATTTCATTCCAGCCACAGACCAAAGGAAACAATTCCAAGTGATTCTGTGTCTCTGAGAATTCTCCCTAAGGGCTCCCTTCTGTTTTTTTTTTTTTCCAGTATTTTTGAGACAGGGTCTCCCTGTAGCCCCAGCTGGCCTGGAACTCACTCTGTAGACAAGGCTGGCCTTGAAGTCACAGAGATCTGCCTGCCTCTGCCACCCGAGTGCTGGTGATTAAAGGCGTGCGCCACCACGCCCGGACTGGTCCCCTTCTTTATTAGAGAACCTAACCAACTTTTTCCCAAAAAAATACTACAAGAAGAGCTCCCTTTCCTGCAATTCTCAGCAAATCTGGAGCTGTTGCTGTATCTTGGGGAAGGATAGAGTGGCCAAGGTTCTAAGGGAGGCAGATGTTGTCCCAGCTTGCTGCTGACCCGGGCAAGCCATCCACAATCTGGATTTTGTTGTCTGGGCTCTCTCAGTTCTGCCACACCCCTCAAGAGCACAGAGTCCACAGTTGGATCACAAATCGGCCCAGGAAACAGCTAGTTGTGAATCACAGGTGCTCAGTGGGTTTCTGTTCAATAAAGAACTGGGGGACTTTCTGGCCCAGACTTTCCTCTGTCCCAAGTTATTTCCAACTAGTCCTGAAAACCGGGACAAAACAAATTTTGTAGTCACCCCCAGTCATGGTGTCCTGGCCTCAGGTCCACAGATGCTATTTTTCATACCAGCTGCATCCTAAGCAAGAGTGAAGATGGTGATTAGCAGTGGTGGTGGGCGTCTCAGTAGGAGCTTTGGTAAGAAGAAAGGGCTTTGAATGAGCCAATGAAAGCTGTTGCCAGGGAACCAGATGCCATGAACAGTCCACTCCAGCAGCGTTAAGAATACAAACAGGGAGTCCTGGACTGAGCATTAAGTATACTTGGCAGCTGAGTCCTACAAGGCCTATTAACCCTTTGTGCACCTCACCATGAACAGACTGTCAAGAAGAGAAAGATGGTAAAATCTCAAGAGCCAAATCACCCCTGCTGCCAACACTTCCCACTGGAATGACCATTTCAAAGCTGTTCTCCCTGCTTGACTGATAACTCCTTCAAACTCCTGTGTTAGGGTATGTAGGCAACAGCAAAAGCCAGCAAGAGCTGGCTGTGACTATATGGCTCTGCAGAGGGAGCTGCTTGTGTCAGATCACACTAGTTTCTACACTAATTATTCCTCTCAACCTGTGGCCCAGCTTCATCTGCCCCATGTGGGTATGTTCTGCAAGAGGAGGAGGACCAGCTTCCATTCTCCCTGAACATACATCCCCACAGCCTCCTGGGCCAGTCAGAGATTGGCAGCCTACACCCATTTTAAGATTATTGCTTGGAGGGGTACGGGCACAAGCTGGCCCTCCAGGGAAACAAGGAACAGGTAAAGTAACCATGGATGGGCTTCTCAGCCTACCTTCCAGGTGATGTGTGCCATCTTGTCCCACTTCTTCCTTTTCCTTTTCTGTCAATCCCCAATCAGACATTCACTCTGGAGCCCATTTCTGCACAGCCTGGTTAAGCAATCACCATGGAGGGAGTTGTCAATGAGCTCAGTTCACAGGAGGACCAAAGTGTTTTCCCAAAGGAAACCATGCAGGTTGAACACAGATGTAGGTTCCCTGGGAGACTAGGGAGTCCTTGATTCACAAGGTGAACTTAAGTAACACATGGACCCTGAGAGGAACGTTGTCCACGGATCTGGGCTCCCTGACACCACTTCAGACTATCAGTTTCCGCTCTGTTGGAGCCATGGATGGGGATGCAATTGAACATCCAAATATGGACAAAATAGTAGTAGGAGAATTTGTGTATACCTTAAATGATGCGATGATATGTTCCTGAAGAGACATATTTTATATATTAATTTAGTATCTCTCAGACAACTAGCAAACAGTTCACACATTGGCTCTGTGACAGAAAATATAGAAATTATTCTTGTCATAAAGTTAAATAGTGAGCTGGAAGGCAGGCGACAGAGAAGTATCTGATTGTGTAGTCTAGTCACTTACTGTCTATACATGTGACAGCCCCTGCTGTGAGGTAATGACTTTCAGGTCATCAGTTTGTACAGCAAAACATTAGTACTGTGCCCTAACAACAAGGAGGCCATCATGTGAGTTCTGCATTATGTGATAGAATTATTTCTTAAACACTATTGTCTATTTATTAGCCACATACTATGTGACACTCAGTGCGTTACATAAATCATTTCAACTGTTAAATAAACATCATTGTACCAATAGTCAATGAAGTAAAAAGAAAGACCTTAACCATTACTATAAACCAATGACATAGATCAAACATTCCCTTTGCTTGCTCTACTGTTTAATGCCTCTAAATGACTAGAGTCTATGACGTTTCTGTGAATATCTGCTCTGAGATTCTCCCCTTAGAACTGAATTTATCTCTATTCTTGAAACCCTCCCTGATTGGTTCCTAGGAGGGTTTGTTCCTCCCAGCAACTGAGATGCTGGCCAGAAGAGTGATTGATTTCTCCTATGTTATGAAAGAACCAAGAATGTGTGATTTTTACTTCTTCTACAATCTTACTAACTCCACATCATAAATTTAAGATCTTACAATCACTGCAAGGGTGCCTATGAGAAAATGAAGCCAGGAACAAACGCAGAACCAAATAGACTCCCCAAGCAAACCCTTCAAAAAGACCCAAAATAAATAGATGTCCAGTGCCTGCCTTCCGATCTAGCCAGGTCATATAGTTGTTTATACCTAAGGAGAGAAAGGAAGCAGGGGCCAACGCTAGCTCTTTCTCCTTGCTATGATCCCAGGTATTCTCTATTGCCTTTTGCATTGTCTTCTTTCATAGCTGCCCCCGAGCCACATGAGAACTCAGCCCTAGTGTCTGAACAAGTCACATACACATCCTCAGCAAGTCTGTGCCTCTTCCAACAAGTTTAGAGGGTTGTGTCTCCCACACTAATGCTAGTGCTCTTTCTACCTTTGTTTACTGAATCTTGAGTTGGTTGGCACCTCAATCAGTGAGTCTAAGCTTTGTACTGTGGCTAGGCAGACTGCTAGCTACCAAGACAGGCTTTGACCTAATTCTCTTCTTTCATGTATTTCTCATAATAGCTCAAAGATAATTGTTTATCTCTGAGCATGTTAAAGAGTAAACACCACATGTTCAGTGAGTTGGTACTATGTACATCAGTTGGTATTGGGATACTGTGAATAAGATGTAATGCCTGTCTTCCATAACTTACAGTGCATTTGGGGTATAAGAATCAAGTAAGTGGAATGAGCCCTCATGACATAAGGCAGTGCGGCTTGTCTCATGCAGAACCCACATTTTATCTGACTTTCTCCTGAAACGTGTTTCATGCTCATGGCAGATCATTGTGGTTGGTTCTATTGGCCTTCATTCGACCTTCCCTGTAGTTCAGCAGGTTAGGAAGAAAACCTAGGCAACTTTTCAGGGTAAAGCAAAGGGAAACAAGGCTGGAGATAAAGTGTAGAGGGAGTTCTGCAGTCAGACCAGAGTTCTAAGGTCTTTCTCCAGCTTCTTCATGGCTGAAGGGAAGACTGCAACCACAGTCACAGCTCCTTCCTGACAGCTATATTTTAACCACAATGGAGTTTATTATGAACTGTTGCCACTACTCTAGTGAGGACAGCAGGTTAGGACTCAATTCAGATAAGGTCAGTCTCACCTCTGCTGTGATGTGACCTTCTGCAAACTATTCTCTCTGTGCTCTTCAGAGAGCAAGAACAGCACCAGTGGGTCTTGTGGACTGGAAATAAATAAAACTACACAATCACATTTTTATAAAGGGAGGCAAGAAGCCTGATATCACCCCCCTAGACCATGTCTTCAGAGTGACATCCATTTAACCCAAGTACTTGGAACACAGGATAAATTCCCAAACACACTAGGGACATGGCATCTATTTTCATTGTTTCATGTGGTTTCTATTTATTTACAGAGTACCATGGTTATTCATGATGCTTTACAAACCATAAAAACAAGATCTCCACCCTATAGAATTTACAGTATAATTTAAACAGACATGTTGCAAGGGCTGACAGGTCAGGCATGCAGAGGATGGTGGTGGTGTTGTATAACATGGGTGTGGAGGGTTCCTTCTTGAGTTATAAATACTTACCGGTTACAAGGGCCTTTCATCTGGGATCCCCAAGCACTTTAGAATAGCAATAACCTCGATTGCTTCCTAAATGCACTTTCCATAAACTGTTGTAGAGGCTGAGTAAATGCTTTTAAATGCCTATTAATTGATCCGTGGATCTGTTCATTGTCCATATTAAACAGCATGGATGTAAACACAGTGTTTTAGGAGAGGCCTGCTGTGGGCTGTGGGCTGGTTGCTCACAGATTACAACCTAAAGAGGGTTGGCTGGCCTTGAGAGGGCAACATGGACACCTGGGTATTTTCTCAAGTGAGATACTTAACTCAAGCTAGATTGAGAATGATCACTTCCTGGTGCCCCATTCAGAGTCAACTGGGCTTCCACCAAGAATCTCTACTGGAGAAACAGTCACCCACAGCTAGCAGTCCTGGCTCTGATTCAGCTTCCTCCCAATCACTCCCCCTGCTATGTGTGCTACCTTACTCTCTCTTTTGAGCAACAGCATTTCCAAAGTGGTACAATTCTATTTCCTCGAACCCAGCATAGAATGTCCCTCTCTGTATCTCATGCAATGGCCATTTAGCAACCAACTATTCCTGACCTACTGGGCAAGTTCATTCAAGGCCAGGAGAAGTTTGGACTGGGTTATGTCCTGAGCACTCACCTAGAAGTTCATGAGATAAGCACCCCTCCTTCTAAGTCATCTTTATGAATTTCTCAGTTATCTTTCTAAAACTTCAAATAGAATCATATCACTTCCCTGCTTTGAAAACCCCATCTGAAAGTCAGGCATAGTAGTATGTAACTCTACTTGTAGCACTTGGGCAGTAGAGGCAGGAAGATCAGGAATTCAAGGCCAGCCTGGGCTATGTGAGACCCTGTCTCAAAAAGAAAAGATCTGGGGCTTGGAGAGATGGCTCACTGGTTAAGAGCACTGGCTGGCTGCTCTTGCAGAGGACCCGGGTTCAGTTCCCAGCCCCGCTATGGTGGCTAATAACCGTCCATAACTCCAGTTCCAGGGAATCTGATGCCCTCTTCTGACCTCTGCAGGCATTGCATGACACAGATGCACACATGCAGGCAATACACTCATACACAAAAAACATAAAAATAATAAATAAAACATTAAGATAAAAAAAGAGAAAAGAGCTGAAGAATAAAATGCAGTACATATATGACCTTCATGGCTGTGGACACCAGAGAGGTCACCCCTTCCTCAGTGGCCTAAAATGTCCACACCTGCTGTAATGTTGTCTTTCATCTCCCTTCTATCTTCTCACATCTCACCAGCAAACTTCTGTCCTTTCACACCCACTCCAGTCCCCTTCCTGTCTGCAGCCTTCCACACATCCCTGCCATCTACCCCTGCCTCCACCACATGGACCTCTCATCCTACAGCATCTTCTGTCCTCCACCTCTGGGAACAGAGCTGTCTCATTGACTTCTGTATGAGGGGCCTCCTTGAGTCCAGGGCTTGTATCTCAGATATATATTTAGAGAAATTTTTGTGAAGGATTCTTTGTATACTGAAGGGACATTGAGGCAGAAAAGAGGGAGCAACTGTAAGAGTCCTGAAATGATTTAAACCCTGATATCTAAATGATGTGAGGAGGTCCCTCCAGGATAACAATGCTGACCGCTTGGATCATCAAGTATTAGATTTAGTTTTTCAGATTTTTGCTATATTGAAAGACTTTTAATTATGATAAAAGATACATAAGTTTACCATTTTTTCTTTTCCTTGGATTTATTTATTTTCACTTTATATATATGAGTGTTTTGCCTGCATGTAAGTGCACCACATGTGTGCAGTGCCTGAGGAGAGTAGAAGAGGGTGTCAGATGCCCTGGAACTGGAGTTACGGATGGTTAATGTAGGTGCTGGAAACTGAACCTGAATCCTTTGCAAGATCCAGTGTTCTTAATCACTGAGCCATCTCTCTAGCCCCAAAAGATGTATAAGTTTACCATTTTAACTATGTTTAAGTTTACAGTTCATTAGTGTACTGGATAGCTTTAGTGTCAACTTGACACACTTGGGTTGAGGGAGCCTCAACTAGGGAATTACCTCCTTTGGACTGGCCTGTGGCCATGTCTATGAGGCATCTTCTTGATTATTGAGTGATGTGGGAAGCCCACTGTGGGCGCTGCCACTCCTGGGCAGCTGGGCCTATGTTGTATAAGAAAGCAGGCTGAGCAGGGCCAGGGGAGCAAGCCAGTAAGCAGTATTCCTCCATGGCGTGTGCTTCAGCTCCTACCTCCAGGTTTCTGCCCTGCGTTCCTACCTTGGGCTCCCTCAGTGATGATGAACTATGACCTGGGAGATGTAAGACAAATAAACCCTTTCCTCCCCAAGTTGGTAGTGGTCAGAGTGTGTTGTCACAGCAATGGAGACACAAACTAGAACAACTAGCATTAAGTTCATTCACTCTGTGGTGAGTCCATCTCTTGACCTTTTCCAATTTCCCATACTCTGTACTCACCAAACATTAATTTTGTATTTTCTTTCCCCCACCTCTAGCTACTACCATTCTACTTCCTGTTTCTATGAATTTGACTAGTCTAGATACCTCACACAAGTAGTATCATCCAAAATTTTCCATTTTTAAATGGCTTATTTCACTTATCATAATGTCTTCAAGGTTCACCATTATTGTAGCATATATCCCAATTTCCTTCTTTTTAAAGGCTGAGTAATATTTCATCATATATATTTTGTTTAATCATCTGTCAGTGGATAGTTGAATCAATTTCACTCTTGAGATCAGTGATGCTCTGAATATGGAGTGTACAAATCTGATACTATGCTTCAGAAACTGCTTCTGGGAATATACGCAGAAGTGGAATTACTGGGCCATACACTAATTCTGTTCTTTTTTTAAAACTCATACCATACCATCTTCTGCAGAGGACAAACTACTTTATAGCCACAACAGCTCCAATTTTTTAATCCCCTCACTAGCACTGGTTATTTTATGTTGTTTTGTTATTTTATGTTGTTTTTTTATAACCACCTTAGAGGGTATGAAGTGTTATCTCACTGTGGATTTTACTAAACTCAGTTTTGCGACTCTGCTTTCACTGTCTTAATTCTTCATGATAAACCCAATCTTATTTTACAACATAATGTCTAACTCTCAGGAGACCTGAGCCTGCCCCAGGGGAAGGGCTCCATGGCAAGGGAGCTGATAGGTGAGTAGGTAGACCTGTTGTACTTCTGAATACTAGCCACTTTGCTTTCCCTGATCAAAATAGGGTCTTAGATCACCAGCAAAAAACGGTCTTTGACTCCCTGACCTCACTTCTCTCTCTTGTTTTATGATCATAGTGTCAGCATCAAAGAGAAGCAAGCAGCTAGCTCAGCCTATAACAGCATGTCTCAAAGGGGGCGGTAAATGACATTCCAGTGGGACCATACAAGGTAGTCACACCTTGCAGAACATTTAGCATCTAGGCCCCTGCTTGCTGAATGCAAACAGGGTTGTACACTCTGTGTGTTTGTGTGCGTGTGAGTGTGTGTGTGTGTGTGTGTGTGTGTGTGTGTGTGTGTGTGTGTGTGTGTGTGTGTGTGTATCCCCTCATCATTGTATCAGCTAAGACCCCCTCCATTTTCAAGGTCCCCCCACCCCAGGAGCTGCCAGGTTGAGAAGCGGGTATGCAAAAGGAAGCCAGAGCTTCCCAAAGTCTCCCACTCACTCAGGCAAAGCAGCCATTGGCGTTAGCTTGATGAACCCTCCTGTCCAAGTTCAGAGGATTCTGGGGCACAGCCAAGGGAACTGTCACAGGTGACATTAAGTGACCTATAGGATTCCCTGTGTCTGTCGATGGTTAGGTGACAGTGACAGGCTCCTGTGTCAGAAAAAAAGGGAAGGCACTTGCTAAAAGCAAGATGAGTGCACAACAGAAGAAAAACACTCCGACATGGCCTTCTAGCCCACTTCCTGCCCCCAGGATCTCAGATCTGAGCCTGGTCCCCACCCCCACCCCAGGAAGTAAGAAGCCCTGTTTTCAGCTGCCTCTGCCCTGCCTGGGTTAGAGGACTTCATTTCCTTGTGCTGCCATAGCAACCGGGAAACAACCTCTGCCCACACTGAGAAGGACAGTGCGTTGGCCCAGATCTGCAGATGCACACGGCTGGTAGCAGGGCAACCGGGTCCCAGAGACAACACGGACTCAGACTGAGCAGAGTAGACAACCCACTGCCTGAGGAATCTGGGCCTGCAGTTTGTTTTTTCTCTCCACAAAGATGCACACTGTCTAAACTGTGTGCCTGGTTGTTATTAAACTGCCCTAAGAAGGAAAAATGTATTTCATGAAAGGCCCAGTGTTCGTGGTCTTCTTTGGTTTGCTGTTGAGCTTCAGAAACCTTGAGGTGTGACCAGCTTTCAGCCTTCAAAACCAAGATGAACTGCCCTTGAGAAGGGGTGGTCAGAGGGGAAACATGCTCACCCTGTCTCTCCTGAGCCGGGGACATGGGAAGTTGGTCCAGAACAAACAGAAATTGGAAGTCTACTTTGAACCAGAGGTGAGTTCCAAAGCTAAAAGAAGGCACCTTTTGGGGATGGGGGAGGAATGCCCTGTTATTCCACTTAGAGATGAGCTGAGTGTGTTTGGTGGCAAGATGGTGGAGATCACTCATAGGTCTTCCCTCCCTCATGAAACTCGAGAAAATAGTGTTGTTTGCCTTGCCCCCAAGATTGCCATCAGAACGATCTTCCTTCCCTCCACACCAACTCTCAGCTGCCTTTGCTTCAGAACAAAAGAGAACCCAGATTGTCTGGAAACTGGATGGTTTGGTTCAAGACCAGAATTCCCACCTGGATTCTAGAATTCATGCTCAGTGGCTGAAATGCTGTGTGTGTTTGTATCACTTGATGTTTTGTTTTGTTTTTTTAAACTTTGTAAAATTCAACCCACAGGATTCATATTTAATGTAGGCCAAAAAGAAATCTCATTTCAGAAGATTTTTCAAGAGGTGGCAAAATTCCCTTGTTGTGTTGGAATTTTGTTTCTTGAATCCTGCTAGGAATAAAAAGTCCATGGGGGTACTTTGCAAACGTGGGGGTCATACAGAGATCTTCATTGTCATGGTAGTTTGTCATATTTGACCTTCACCGTGTTAAAAGACATATTAAGTTTCAAAGGACTTCGATGGCCAATGGCATATACTTAAAAGATATATAGCCACTTTCTAGGCTCCTAAATAGCCAAATTAGGTAATGTTACACAGCATCTGGAATGTATAGAAATTCTCTCTGTGCATAGCCGAAGTGGTAGTGGGTTGGAATCATTTCTCTTATTTAAACTGTTCACTAGACCGGGTCTAATTTCAAAGTTGTCAGCTGACCTTGATAATTCTGACTACTTACTTGCATACCAGGAAAGTTAGCTGGTCTGAAATCTACACTGTACTCTACTGTAAGCCTCTAGACATGGATAGCTCTTCTGAAAGTTATATGGAATAAAATAGATTCGTGCCCTGGGTTCTACTAATTTTTATACAGAGAAAAGCTAGTTGCTAAAAAGAATAATTGTGTTCCAAAATTCCACATGAACAATTCAGAGAAAAATAAGAAACTAAAGGATAAAAAAAAAAAAAAAAGCCCAGCAAGATGGCTCAGTGGGTAAAAGCGCTTGCCTTGCAAAACTGTAGAACCGAGTTTCATCCCAGGACCCAGGGTGGAAGGCAACAACTGCCTCCCTCAAGTTGTCCTCTGACCTCCACACATGTGCGTGGCACATGCATGCCCTAGGAAAGAAAGAAAGAAAGAAAGAGAGAGAGAGAGAGAGAGAGAGAGAGAGAGAGAAAGAAAGAAAGAAAGAAAGAAAGAAAGAAAGAAAGAAAGAAAGAAAGAAAGAAATATTGTTTTTAAAAACCCAAAAACTGCCCAGATAGTATTTACTGAAGAAGGATCTTCCACAGTGCCTCAATCAAGGAGTTTCTTTTCATTGAAGGATTACTTGAACTGGAAGTCCCCAGAAGACTATGTCCTAGTCAGTAAACCTCAGGAAGGGGACAGTGCCAGCCAACACTCCTGGAGCCTCTTTCTCCCTAAGACCTTCAGCACAAGAAAGGGGGCCCTGATCCTCTACTCAGAAGGGTTAGCTGTGTCAGCATGGACACCCAAAGAGAGGAGGAGAGGTCACAGGAAGAAGCTGGACCTTGAGCTGCACACGCTTCAAGACCTCAAACAAGCCATCTTAGCATACGGAAGGAGACAGGTAGGTTTGGAGGATGCTGGTGATGAATCTATAAATGCAGTTGCAGCTTGGGGTATAACTTTTTGGTCCCTAGAGAGGGAAGGTATGAAACTCTCAGACCTCCACTTTTGTCATCTTGTTCTATGTGCCAGGCACAACTGTGCCAAAGTCCCCAGGGAATAACACATGGGAAAGCACTCTGGACTCTAGTATCATTACGTTGTATTTCCCCTTTAGTCACAGTAACACAAAGTCCTTTCCAGCATCCAGACATGCCATCAGAACCCTTTAAATCCTGTCTCATAGCCTCAAACATCATCATCCCACCTCTGATGTTCTTGACTTTGTGAAAATAAGAACATTTTAAATATTTACCTTGAACCTTTTAGTGTCAGCAGGAAAGTTAATGACTTTTTCCATTCTGCATTTAATATTAAGGGAAAAGCTCTCTTCTTTTCTTCTTCATGCTATCTAATATTTTGAGATGCACGCATGGCCCCTGCTTTATGTAACCATAGGCATCAGCCCTTTGGCTGAGGCCCTGAGACAGTCTGGGAAGATGTGTTACTTTGTGAAATTCTAGATTAGAGATGGTGAGTTACTCCCTAGTTTCAAAGTCTCTCAATACGAATAAATCTTTAGCTTCTGACACCAGACCCTTCTCACATTGGGTTTCTCTTTCATGTCTAGCCATATGTCCCACTTGCTCTTCCTACCACCTTAACCATAGTATATCCCTCAAAACCCTTCCCAATGTGGCTAGTTCATCCCAACAACCCTGTTCACAACTACATTTTTATGCCTGCTTCTGCACTAGATAACTCCTACATATCCTTCAAAACACAACATATCATCTCACCAAAGCCTTCTTCCACTTTCCTGGGCAGAAATATACCAGGGCTTCCTCCTTTGCAAACATTTCCATCCCATCACACACTGAAAGTCTCTTTGACCATCCGGTGGAATAATGTCTCCCCTAAGGGAAGGACTCTGTCTAAATCCTTTCCATAAATGTTGGTGGAGTGAGTGAATTAATCACGCATGATTTCAATGTTTCTTAGATTGTTTCCCACTTTGATTATTGAACAACTTGTATTGAACAACTACCCCATTCTAGACAGAACTTCCAAAAGGAAAGATTCTTTTGCTCTCTTCCCCTCCAAAGTAGAGAGGCTTGATGTCCTTGACTAAATGCCCCATTGTCCTTTGTCATGAAGCCATACATTTTTTAACAAAAGGAAAACACTTGCTAAATGTTTACAATAATTAATAGCTATTATTTTATTTAATCCTCCCAATGATGTGTGAAATGTAGCTCCCATCCCTACCTGCTCACCTTTTTAAGACAGGGTCTCACTGTGTAGCCCAGTGTTCTGAACAGCTTTAGTTGTCAACCTGACATACCTGGCAAGTGGAAACCTCAGTTGAGGGATTACCTCTATCAGACTGGCCTGTGGGCAAGTCTGTGAGGCATTTTCTTGATTTTTAAGGGATGTAGGAGGACCCACCCCACTGTGGGTGATGCCACTCCAGGGCAGGTGGTCCATGGTTGAATAAGAAAACAGGCTGAACATGGGTCAGCTTCTGCCTCTGAGTTCCTGCCTGAGCTCTTGCCCTGGCTTCCCTTTATGAAGGACTGTACTGTAAACTGAAATAAACCCCTTCTTCCCTGAGTTGATTTGGTCATGGTGTTTATCACAGCAATAGTAAACAAACAACCTAAGCTGGCCTCCAATTCATGATCCTCCTGCTTTAGCCTCCTGAATGCTGAGCTGAAGGTATGGCTCTTTTGCAGATAAGGAAACTGTGCTGGATAGCTTTAATGTCAACTTGACACACCTGGGTTGAGGGACCCTCAATTGGGGAATTGCCTTCATTGGACTGGCCTGTGGCCATGTCCATGGGGCACCTTGATTGTTGAGTGATGTGGGAGGACCCAGCCCACTGTGGGTGGTGCCACCCCTGGGCAGGTGGGCCTATGTTGCATAAAAAAGCAGACTGAGTAGGGGCCAGAGGAGCAAGCGAGTAAGTAGCACTCCTCCATGGCCTGTGCTCCAGCTCCTGCCTCCAGGGTCCTGCCCTGAGTTCTTACCTTGGATTCCCTGATGAACTGTGACCTGGGAGATGTAAGCTGAATAAACCCTTTCCTCCCCAAGTTGATATTGGTCAGAGTATTTTGTCACAGCAATGAAGAAACAAACTAAGACAGAAACAGAAGTTTAAAGGAGTTAAGTGACTTCCTATGGTCTGAGGGCCAGAGAATGACAGAGCCAGAATTCAAATCTGGATGTGCCTACCTCTCCATGGGCAGCATGGAAATCCTATTGTCTATGAACCTGAAGGGACTCCAGAGGTCATTGTGCCTGGCCTTGGTCTGTTTGTTCTCAGACACCCTCCACATCCTTCTGCTCTGCTCTGTTCATAGGGGGTCAACCACAGTCTGTAGCAGTTCCAAAAACATCTGTGTCAACCAGCTGCTGGTTCAGTTTGCCAGTGGGAGACACTGGGAAGAGATTGGTAAGGAAGAAGGGAAGAGCCAGGGTACTTCCCCCTTTACTCTGATCAGTTGACAAGAAACATCTGCATCACCTCTGTGGTCCAGCTTCCAACAGACAGGGACACACTGGTTGAGGTGCTTCTAGGTGACCCAGTGCCTTTCTTTGTCCTTCTAGCAAAAGAGGATGGGCTTCCTGATCTTGCTGACCCCAGTGTTGCCTAAGTATCTGTTTCACTTCTGAGCTCTCCAATCACCTGTGTAACCAATTCCCTAAATTAAATTCCTTCTGTTCAATATTTATATATATATATTTAAATATTTACTATTTTTATTTTATGTGTACACGTGTATTGCCTGCCTGTAGGTAAGTGAATCTGTGTCATACAATGACTGCCCGCAGAGGACAGAAGAAGCTGTTGGATCCCCTGGAACTGGAGTTACGGGCAGTTGTTAGCTGCCATGTGGGTGCTGGAATTTGAACCCGGGTTCAAATGCAAGAACAGTCAGTGTTGTTAACCACTCTGCCATCTCTCCAGCCCCCAATATTTATATTTTTATGGAACGAGGGCACATGAGGAGGTCAGAGGACAACTTTCAAGGGTCAGTTATCTCCTTCCACCATGTGGGTTCCAGAGACAGAATTCGGGTCACTAAAGGTCATTAGGCTTAGTGGCAACAAGTACCTTTACCCACTGAGCCTTCTCACCAGACCCCTTTAGTGTTTAAATACTTAGAGTTCTTTCTGTTTTCCTGGTTAGAGTAACTTCCCAGAGAAAGAATACCTTCCTGGCTTTGAGATGTCTGTCCACATGGCTTAATTCTTTAGGGGAACAGGGAACTCTGAATTTATAAAGTCGATCATTTCACCAGGGACAGCTGTGTCTTCAGTGAGCTCAATAGAGGAAAGAAGTTCTTGTCTTCTAGCATCCATCTACCATTTATAATGCAAACCTGCGCAAAACAGAATGACATAGTCTGACTGCAGATGGGCAGAAGGGAAATGGTGCAAAGAAAGAAAAGGTTTGGAATAGTAACAGGGCAGGAATTTAATATTAGAAAACATAATATTATTTATTTAAAAAGAAAAGAAAGCAACTCAAAAGAACTTGGGATTATGGAAAATGAACACCTCAGCAGAGGACTGCTTTGGGAAACACTGAGTACTATTGGATTAGGAAAGCTATAGACTCAAGAAATGCAGAATCACAATGCCCAGTTCTGAAAGGCTGTGGAGATAGTCTCATATGTTCTGCCTGAAAATTCACATGACCTTTCTGGATGGCATTTTGGTAAACGCCTAGAAAAGGTTGATACACTTTGACTCAGCTTTCTACTTTTAGAAGCTCCTTAAAAAGAAGTAAGCAGAGATATGCCCTAAGATTTACACCACAATTGTTTACTATAGAGTAAACCATTAAGTGGAACACTGAAAACTGTAAATCTCTCACAATGAAATATTGATTAAATAAATTACAATACAACCATATGACAGATTCTCGGTCAGGCAATAAGCCATGTGTAAGTAATAAGTGAAAAAATATTCACAGTATCCTTTCAAAAGTAGGTTACAAAAGTTTTCATATATAAATAATAAAAATAGCAATGTCAGGGCTGGAGAGATGACTCAGTGGTTAAGAATGCTTGCTGTTCTTTCAGAGACCTGAGTTTGGTTCCCAGCACCCATGTCAAGCAGCTCACAACGACCTTTAGCTCCAGCTCCAGGGGGTCTGACATTCTCTTCTTATAGAAAGCCTGTACTGACTGGACCAAGAACTAGGAAATCCAAAGTTTCCACCCAGATCTAGAGAGGCTAGCACAGGCAGATACAAGCCAAGGTTTACACTCACAGCTCCAGTTCTGTGTGAGTATAATTGCCTGTATGTGGTGATATCTCTGCAATTTGTTTCTGAACATCTACCCACTGGGCAATTTTCCCGATGATCCAGCTTCCTGAGGAATAAAGATCAATGTCAAGTCAAGGGATTGGATATCAGTTCTCAGACTTCTGTAGACACATTGATACTTCTCCTGGATGTTGTTTTGGTTTGGGTTTTTTGTTTGTTTGTTTGTTTGTTTGTTTGTCTGAGTTTTGGTTTTGGCTTTTTGAATTATCTTGTTTTGTTGGTTTATATTATATTTTATTTTTTGAGACGGGGTCTCCCTGTAGCCCCAGCTGGCCTGGAACTCACTATGTAGACCAGGCTGGCCTCTATCATACAGCAGTCCACCTGCCTCTGCCTCCTGAGTGCTGGGATTAAAGGGGTGTGCAACCATACCTGGCATGTGCACAGCTCTTTTACAGAAGTTCTGGGGATACAAACTCAGGTCATCAGTTTTGCACAGCTAGCACCTTTATCTGATGAACCATCTCCCCAGTCCCAGAGAATATTTATAATAATGACTAATACCCAGAATTTACTGTTATATCAGTCATCAAACTGTTTTATCTAGTTGACTCATTTAATTCTCACGCCTTTATAAAGCATGTATTATTTTCTATCATGCTGAAACATACATAAACTTT